AGTCCAGTGCCAATAAAGATACTAAAAAATTAGTAAATGTTTATAAACATTTAAAAATGATGAATAGTCTCAACTTTATATTGGGTACTGCAAAAGCATGAACAAATTATTAATACATTATTGTAAAGATGTGAAAATAGGGTAAATTCCGGTCATTTTGGACACTTTTTGCCATCAAAATGACTGCTCATGCAGGTACTAATGATTAGTAAATGTTTATAAACATTTACAATTGATGAATAGTTTCCACTTTAGATTGGGTACTGCAAAAACATTAACAAATAATTAATAATAAATGATTTATGATGTGCAAATAATGGAAGTCTACACAACAAACAAAGCCCAAATATATGACCTGTAGAGACTGTGATTATGAGTTAATTAATATATTAACATGAACAGTTTGTGAAGTGCTTAAAATTAATAATTAAGCTATATTTTCACAACATTTGTAAATGTAAAATGTGATATGTGAACTGATGTTTAATGAAACTTGTAAGCATTCAACAGTACATTAACAAATACATTTGAAATCATTGTGTAATTTCTGTTAAAATCATTTGTAGATTTTTAAAACGCATTGAATATTTAATGACATTTGTAACCATTAACTAATGATCAGTTAAGCATTATAAAACGTTTGTTAATGATTTATTAATGAAGCTTTTAATCATTGTAAACCAGGGGTGCCCAAACTCAGTCCTGGAGGGCCAGTGTCCTGCAGAGTTTAGATCCAACTTGCCTCAACACACCTGCCGCGAAATTTCTAGTATGTCTAGTAAGAGCTTGATTAGTTGGTTCAGGTGTGTCTGATGGGGGTAGGAGCTAAACTCTGCAGGACACCGGCCCTCCAGGACCGAGTTTGGGCACCCCTGTTGTAAACCATCTGTCAAAATCATTTGAAGATTGTTTTTTTTTTAAATGCATGATCATATGAATTGAAAGTTTAATGACATTTGTAAGCATTTCAATTTACATTAAATAATGATCTGTTAATCATTTGGTAATGTTTAATAAGTTCATTAGTTAACATTAACAAGCACATTATATCGTATTTCTAGATATGTGAATATATATTAAGTAATGATTAGTTAAACATTATGTAATGTTTTTTAATTATTTATTAATGAAAGTTATTATAAAGTGTTACCTTGTTTTATTGTTTTTTTTTTGAGGGTGAGAGGGCAACACACAGAATCACTGCTACAGAAAACATCTGTCTAATTGTAATTTTTACTCGAAACCTTATAATTACTGAGATGTGATGAGACTCACTGTAGTTTCTGCAGTTTGCAGTGTGGATCCTCCAGTAGAGCAGAGAGAAGATTCACTCCTGAGTCTCCTGGTTTATTATCGCTCAGATTCAGTTCGGTCAGGTGTGAGGGGTTTGATTTCAGAGCTGAAATCAGAGCAGCACAGCCTTCCTCTTCAATACTGCAGCTCCACAGCCTGCAGAGTGTGAAGAACATGAATGATCTCTGAGATTGTGTTTAAGCTTTAGGGTGAGAGTCTGTTTCTGTGACATGGAGGAAAGAAAAAAACAGCCTCCTTGTGTGTTTGTATGAGCTCTGTTTTTCTCTCTCACACCAGGATCAATAATATAGAGATTTTAACTTGCCAGCACAAGCGGTCCGTGTATTTTAATTTTTCCTTTTTTAACCTACAGTTCTGTCAGGTGTGAGGGGTTTGATCTCAGAGCTGAAATCAGAGCAGCACAGCCTTCCTCTTCAATACTGCAGCTCCACAGCCTGCAGAGTGTGAAGAACATGAATGATCTCTGAGATTGTGTTTAAGCTTTAGGGTGAGAGTCTGTTTCTGTGACATGGAGGAAAGAAAAAAACAGCCTCCTTGTGTGTTTGTATGAGCTCTGTTTTTCTCTCTCACACCAGGATCAATAATATAGAGATTTTAACTTGCCAGCACAAGCGGTCCGTGTATTTTAATTTTTCCTTTTTTAACCTAGAAATTAACTACGGAAAATGCGGTTTCTTCTTTTTTGGATTTAACATTCTTTTCATTATTCAAAATTCTTATTTCATTAAAAATCGTAAAAATTATATACAGCTTGTTTTTTAATGTACATAAATGCTAAATTTAATTTCTAGCCTTTTAGCGTCTCTATATACAGGCTAAAAGCACCCTCAAGTGCTACCGACAGGGTTACCGGTAACCCATTGCTTTTTAAAAAACCTCTGGCATCAATATTTGAAAGGCATCAATGTTTTTATGATCATAAAGTGCCTTGATAATTTTTCAAGCCTTTAAATGTGCATGATATAGTTAAATATGTGAATGGATTGCATTTAATCAGCTGTTTGTTTCCAGGCACTGTTCTACGGGGGTGCTAGAGGTGCTAAGCACGCTCAAACAAAAGCAAGAGCACCCTGAGGCTGTAAAAATTGGATATGGTGAAACATATTTGGCTGTTGATTTCTGTTGATGTTCATAATATCTGTTGATTTCTTGGACGCAATGGCTAATCAGAGGTGTTTTAATTCAGAATCCACTCACCGCTCAAAACGCCGCAGTTTTGTTCAGTGCTGAATGCTGAGTGATACAAGCTCACGAATCACATCATTATAATAATCAGTGTAGACACAAGGCTAATAAGAGAATAATTGTGCAATGTAAAGAGATTCATTGATTATAACGGAAATTTGTGAGATCGCAATTAAATTAAATGAGTGGCAGAATTTTTAAGGAAGTTACGTTGTAAAGCTCCTTGCACGCTTTCTTCCCTATAGTCCATTCAGAAGTTTTGTTCCCTATCGATACTTCACTCGTACTGCATCTGCTTAAGACGACCGCAAGATCTTCACTCTACGAGACTCAAAGCCTTTGCCGTGAACAAGCCTCGCAGCGCATCAAGACCCCTTTCTGCTCGGCTGACTTCACCACTCTTCAGCTGCCTTCCGCGTCTGCAGCAGCTGTGGTCTTCCCGGTCCCCTGCCACTATCCGGCGATTACTATAAAAGCAAATTTCCGCCGTTGTTGCAAATGCTGCGCCGCTACTGTCACTCGTGCAGGGCTCCCCTGCACGCCACTGACGGTCACGGCGAGTGCATTTCATGCTTGGGCGCTGCCCAGGCTGAAGCTGCACTTACCGAGACGGAATGTCCTCATTGCGAGGATATGAGTCTCGCCTCTCTGCGCTCATGGATAGCTTTCTTTTCAGAAAGCGATTCCGCCCCTCACGCCCTCCCACTTTCTTCCTCCCAGGAGCCTGTGAGGAAAAAGCAGCGGGGCAGAGGATCTCGGCGCTCGGTGACGAGTGAGACCACGCCGGCTGAGCCCCCGCGTGCCTCACTCTCTCCACATAGAGAGGCTTCCCCCGTCCTCTTCTCTCACCTGGACCAGCATCCCTCTGCAGCTGCGAGCGATCTGGTCTCGTTCGGTGGGAGCGAGTGTGACGCCATGGACGACAGTGTGTCTCTGGCTGCTTCAGATGCGGAGGACCCCGCCCCCCTGCCGTCTGCGGAGCCCAGCGCAGCCAGCACGGGCATGGACACCGAAATTTTCCGCATCTTGTCTAAAGCTGTGCAAGAGCTATGTTTGGATTGGTCTCTGCCGGAGGAGCCCACCCGCAGCCGCCTGGATGAATGGTTCTTGCCGGGGCGCCATCAAGCCCCTCGACAACGAGCTTCACCGTTCTTCCCAGAGGTCCATGATGAGATCACCAGATCTTCAAGTGTCAAAATGGGTTCTGGGGATAATAAAACGAGGCTATTCACTTCAATTCGCTCGAAGACCCCCGCAATTCAGCAGCGTGGTCTCCACCTCAGTTCAGAGCAAGGACGCACATGCCTGCGCGCCGAGGTGATGAATTTGCTGGCGAAATGAGCCATAGAAACGGTTCCCCCAGCTCAGAGTGAGTCAGGCTTCTACAGCCGATACTTCCTCGTCCCCAAAAAAGGATGGCGGCCTAAGGCCCATCCTCGATCTCAGGCACCTGAACCCTCATGAGATGGCCGTTCAGGATGATTACATTGAAGCAGATCCTCTCGCACGTGTGCCCAGGGGACTGGTTCTTTTCACTGGATCTGAAAGATGCCTACTAGATTCCACATCCAGATAGCCCCCGCCACAGGCGATTCTTGAGTTTTACCTTCGAGGGAGTGGCATATCAATACATGGTCCTTCCCTTCGGACTGTCCCTAGCTCCTCGCACTTTTACAAAGTGCATGGATGCGGCTCTTTCCCCGCTGAGACAGATGGGAATCCGCATTCTGAATTACCTCGACGACTGGCTCATCCTGGCCCAGTCAGAGAACGAGCTATTATCTCACAGATCCTTCCTCCTCAGCCTCTTAGAATGCCTCGGACTCAGGGTCAATTTTGCCAAGAGCGCGCTGTCCCCCAGCCAATGGATATCGTTCCTGGGAACAGTTCTCGACTCAGCCCGGGATGAGGGCAGTAGTCGCACCAGACCGTGCACTGGCTATTCGGCAGCTCGCGGCTTCATTCAAAGTTGGAGCCCCTCACCCTCTCAAGGCATTTCAGAAGATGTTGGGCCTCGTGGCCTCTCCGTCTCCGGTACTTCAGCTGGGCCTGCTTAGCATGCGGCCCCTTCAGTACTGGCTGAAACCACGAGTTCCGTCCCACGCCTGGCGTCTCGGACACCTTCGTGTCTAGGTGGACCGGGCCTGCATAGCAGCTCTGGCCCCCTGGAAAGACTCTCAGTGGATGGAACGGGGTGTGCCCCTGGGAATGGTCCCTCTCAAGGCATTTCAGAAGATGTTGGGCCTCGTGGCCTCTCCGTCTCCGGTACTTCAGCTGGGCCTGCTTAGCATGCGGCCCCTTCAGTGCTGGCTGAACCCACGAGTTCCGTCCCACGCCTGGCGTCATGGACGCATGTGTGTCAAGGTGAACCGGGCCTGTGTAGCAGCTCTGGCCCCTTAGAAAGACTCTCAGTGGATGGAACGGGGCGTGCCCCTGGGAATGGTATGCAGAAGGAAGGTGGTCTCGACAGACGCTTCCAATGCGGGTTGGGGAGCTCTATGCGATAGCAAACCGGCTTTCGGCCATTAGTCAAAAGAGGAGAGTTGGCTTCACATCAACTGCCTGGAAATGCTGGCAGTATGTTTGGGCCTTTGCACCTTTCTGCCAGACCTAAGGGGACACCACGTGCTAGTCCGCTCAGACAGCATGACAGTGGTGTCATATATTCCAAAAAATTAATTTTTTTATTAAAATCACTGGACTACAAAAAAAACTTCACAAGACATTTCGGTGTCTATCCAAAAACCTTCATCAGTTTTAAAAACAGGAAGTAACTCTGGCAAATATATCCACAAAAGTCACATGATCAACAGACCTATTGGAGTCATATGACTACTAGATTGAATGTGTGACACATGCCTAAGTAAATGGTGTCACTGCTCATGATGGTGCCCCTCCTACTCTCCAGACGGAGCACCCCGATCTCTCCTTGCAGCGTCGTGGCACCGTTTCCAGCACAGCATCATAGGCGTGGGACAGATGATGTCTCAAACCCCATCCCCTATTCAAAGAGGGATGCTCCACCTTTACATGAATCACTTCCTTTACGCCTCTTTCAAACCACCTCCCTTCTCTATCCAGTATTCTCACCTCATGGTCGTGAAAATTAGTTTTCTTTTGTTGTAGATGCAAGAAGACTGCCGAATCCTGCCCAGAAGTATTTGCATGTCTATGCTGCGCCATGCGTCGATAAAGTGGCTGTTTTTTTTCTCCAATTATAAATCCTCACACTCCTCACTACCTCATCTTCCTGACTCTTTAGGACTAATTTATTTTCTCATTTGAAAATCACCTGCTCATGTTTTTAAATTTAGGCTTTTATATCAACGCTTGTGTTTGTACATTTGGATTTTTACATTTGCACTGTTTAATATAGTTAATATGGGTGGAAGATTAGGGTATTGAGCTTTTTGTTTGTCTGTGTTTTTTTTTCTCGTATTGTGTTGTAATTTGCATTGTTTTATGTGCTATTGTATGTGCTATTGGGACCCCCTTGAAAATGAGATGGATCAAGGCGCTGTCCCTTTAATAAATTTAAAATTCAAATCCTCACTACACTTAACAGCATATACAACATTACTTCTTTGATGTTTGGGAATCCCCAAACATCGGCAGTCTTTGGCAGGATTCGGCAGTCTTCTTGAGATCTTGTGTGGACTTCCCAAGGCTGAATGTTTTCTAACTCCAAGAAACTAGTGTTAATTTCGTTAACAAAATCTATGACAATTTTTTTTTTCCCCTGACGAAAACAAGATGATGAAGAGACGATAATAAGGTCATTAAACAATAACTGAGACTATATATATAATGGAGCGATCTCCATTTGAGGTATTCTGTTTAAATGAAAGTGTCATTCAGCCAGTCTGTGTTCTGTCATGGATCTCGACTGCATTGTTATAGTGGTTGCTGATTGTAACATTACTTACGCAACCTCTGTGCGGCAATAAGTCTTTTTTGCCGTTGTTTTAAAAGAGAAACATTAATGCAATTTGGAATTATTGGAATTACTATTAGGAATTTCTCTGTTATAATATTTGAGAGTATGTTTTTGTAACACAGGTTTTCATAACGTAGACAGTGCGAGTGTATATATTAAGTATTTGGTGTTTATTTAGCCTCTAATTGATATCCTGTTATAAATCTGTACACTAG